AATAATGGGTGCTTTCTATAAACCATAAGCATTTTCCATATAAATTTTGAAAGCTCTGGAAAATGAGTGTTAAGTATCTTCACTTAGCAGATGTAGAAAGTGAAGCTAAGAGAGGTAAAGACACTGACCCCCAAATCACACAGCCCGTGAACTATGCAGCAATGCTAGAACTTCAACCCAAGTGACCCTGGCCCTAAAGGCCAGGCTCTTTCTGTAGTCCAGCTGCCTTTCCCACTCACACCCACCTGGGCCCTGATCCCTCCCACTGTGAACTGTGCTACATCTACCGTTCAGCCATCCACTGAGCCTATCCTCCAGCTGGTCCGCTGTTCCAAGCAAGGTGTCCACTTCTCAGCGAGTTATTCCTGGTCCTGGCAGACGGCTGGGGCAGCTGAGCTGCTGTCCCCCAGCAGCAGTGCCGGGACCCATCTGCTCTATGACTACCAACTCCCTATTCACCATCTCTTCTTCCTTCCCAAGGAACCTGGAGCACTGGCTCTGGACACAAACCTGATTTCACATCGCAGATCCCCGTGGTCAAGCCCCTTTCTTTCTCTAAGCCTGATGTCTTCCTTCTCTGGGTGATCATCACACACCATTTTCCTTTATCATATTCAAGATTGCCAAGCCTCTAATGCTGGACACGTACTTGCCAGGCTCACAGGACAGTGGGGTGGGAGGGCCAGTGCTGCCTGCTGGGGTATAGTTTACTGTTTTGCAAATAGGGAAGAGACCGGTGGGCCAGCATGAGGAAGCCAAGCTGCTGTGAATGGACCAGATAAACACCGTCCTGGGCTTCATCACTCCACACCTGCCCCACCAGGCCTAGGATGATAACCAGGCTGCTGCTGCAGCCCAGCCCCAGAAAGCAAAAGCCCTCCTCCCTCTGCCTTTCTAGTAAAGAGCCCAGCCAGAGGCAGGAAGCCCGGAAGCTGGGTTTCAGTCAGGAGGCCCTAGAGCAGGCAGGACTGTGTAGGAAGGGCTCGCCTCCACCAGTCTCCACTCTCCTTCCCCGCTGGCTTCAGGACTGAGGCAGGAGACGGCACACCAGCGGTTCTTCATTCACTCAGGGATAGGACAGTAAAAGGAATCTGTGCCAGGTGCACCCTCCATGCTGGAGGGTGCTGCTCTCTTCCTCAAGGTTCTGTTTCAGTGGCCACGCAGATGAGTAGGCAAATATTAGACAACAGAGTCAAAGGGGTCACCATAAAGGAAAGCATGTGCGGACAGGAGGCAGCTGGCCCCATGGAATCAGGGCTGCTTCCTCAATGTTCAGGACAAGCCAACCAAACGAAAGGGAGGTGGGAAGAGAGGCGGGGTATGCTATTCTGGGAAAAGACACAAAAGGTGCAAAAAACCCTGGAAGGTCATAGAACAATAAAATAATGCAGTCTGGAACAGGATGGAGGGTAATTTAGCAGGAGCAAGAACAAAGGAGAAAACAAGGCTGGACAGAGCAGCAGGGCCACTGTGGGTAGGGCCCTTCCATTCTGGGTCAGAGGCCCTAGTGCCTCACAGCTGGTGCTGTCCTGGGATGCAGCAGGCTTGGACCTACCCTGCCTGCTCGTCACCATGGAACGCAGGGCTCTGCACGGCCTTTTCCTTTCTAGGCTGTCCCTCCATCTGGACACGTGGCTACTATTCCAGGTACCCTCCAAGGGCCAGGCCAGCCTAGAGTGTCTATAACCTCCACAGAGTTCAAGAGCCTTTCCTGCTTTGTGATGTGGAACACCTCGGCCCTCCTGGGGAAAATCCTTCCGGGCCCAGCTGCCCCTCTCTTCTCCATCCTCAGGCCAGGGCCAGCCGGCAACTGCTGCCTCCACCCTTTCTCACCTGGTCCTCGAAGGGTCTGCACACTGCTAAACCCAATCAAGATGTTCGAGTCTTTTCTTGCATGATCACTCTGCTGTGCTAACTTGGCTAACCACTTCCTCCACCCCAAATTCTGTACCGTTCTGTTAGCCTTTAACACTTCTCTTTCTTCTGTCACAGCAGGTCCCTTCACCCTGCTGCTCCTCCAGCCTGCCAGCCCAAGAGCCACAGGACCCCTCAGCTGAGGCTAAACCTCATCACCCATCTACCTAGGCACTACTTTGTCCCGGCCAGGAAGAGGCATGCTGAGGGTCTTCCAGAAACTTGGGAGCTTCTCCATAGGCCAGAGCATGACTCCCAAGACTGTCCTGCCTTGGTAGGTTGAAAAATCACTGAGGGCAGGGACAGTCAAGGCCAGAACCTGGCGGGATGAGTGAGGTTCACTGCAAAAGAGCCAAAGTCATCCGTGAGACTCTCAAATTCCCCCTCATAGCACAGCTTTTTACATGAATGCCAGTGACTGATTACATCACCAACCTGTTTACCAGTTATGTGTTTACTGTCACCCCTGCTAGAATTTAAGCTCCAACAGAACAGGGATCTTTGTTTTGTTCTATGTTGGATGCCCAGGCCCTAGAACAACATGTGGCCCACAGCTACTGCTCAGTGAATGCTTCTTAAATGAACCACTGCAAGAAAAAAGGATACTCAGTTGAAAGTGCCCACCCCACTAAAGTCCCTGAGTATCAAACAGTCCACTGAACTGCAGCAGCCTCCCAAGCCTGACAGTCCCTACCACAAACCACATTTCCATTCCTGAGCCTCACGGGAAACCTCCCAGGTTCAAAGGCTTTAGCCTCCAGCCAAGAGCCCCAGTCCTCAAGAACTGAGTATAAGCGCTACTGAGTGATCAGGAACCATGCCTACACTGATGCCTCACTCGGTCCTCAACCTACCCTGGAAGCAACTTCCCCAGCCATGGAAGCTGAGCTATCACAAGAGGGGGGACTCCATCGAACTGCCCCAAACTAAGAACAGGATACCGAGGAAAGAGGCCCTACAGCAAGGCTGGGCAGGAGAGGAAGAGTGGAAACCCTAATGGAGAACCTATCTCTTCAACAGCCCCCCAACCCTGCCCTCAGGTGGCCTGACTCCCACCTCAGAGGGTCAGCTGAGTCCTGAGACACCCCCGCTTCAGAGGAGGCAGGTGCTTGCCAGACCTTAACGTCCTGATTCTCAGGCCGAGAAGTCCGAAGTGCAAACAGAGTCCAGGCCCCTTTGTAAAACTTTTATTTAGAAATCTTCCCCATATAACCTTATATATGTACACACATCATCATCAACACAGGGGTTTGTTTGCTCAAAAGTCACACGCCCATTGTGCTGGCCTCTGGGCGTACAAAGGTCAAGGTACCCGGAGCAGTTACTCCTCTTCTGCAGAAAAACGCAGAGACCAATGCAACTCATCACGTACAGTACGACATCGACGGAAAGTGCTGGGCCCACTCACAGAAACTGCGCTATGTACATGGGCAGGGGCGGCCTCGAGTCAGGGTCGGTACCACTGAAACCACAAGTACAACTAGACCCACCCAGGAGGCCGCGACGCTGTCGGCTGACTACAGATGCCCTTTGTCTTATTTTTGGAAAAGGATAAAGGTTGTACCATCTTGTCATTTGCCACTACAAATAAAACAATACGAATTCTTCTTAAAAGATGGGATTCCTTCCACATTCATTTTTGTTCTTCTCAAAACAGGTTATTACCTTTACACAGTTTCCCTTTTGTACAGATACTGCAAATATTATTCTTGGAACGTTGTCATTGCTTCATGGGCAAGAAGGACACAAAGGAAGGCCCAGAGCATGAGTTATGAAAGGGGAGAACAGAATGAGGGGTCTTGTTTAGTTCTTTCAAAGATCTAAAGCCGCTTCCTTCACTGTCTTAGCCCAGTGGGGGCAGCTGATACCTTCTACATGGTCTGCCCATGTCACCTCTCTCCCACTCTCTCCTCTCTCTCTCCTTGCAATGAGACAGAACCTAAGACAACCTGAAGAAATGAGGAGGACCTAGATAACTCGGGCAAAAGTAGTTTACAACCTAAATTACCCAAATGCCAACTGCCCAGGGCTGGGAACCTTACTGCAGGATTGGTCCTGAAGGCAACAGAGCTTTTTTTGGTGTATGTGTTTGTCGGGGGTGTTGGGGTTTGATGACCTCACATGCTAGGCAAGTGCTCTGCCCCTGAGCTACACCCTCAGCCTGCCAAAGAACTCGGTACAGTCTCAAAAAACACTTTCATGATTGATGCCCTATGAGACAGGCCGGGCCAGGGTATTGATGAGACTCTGACACTTAGAAAGATACCCCATCACACTGCAGCAAAGGGAACCAGAAGCTTAAGTCCTGAGAGAAGTGTGTGACCCATCTCATAAAACCCATTTGAGGCCAGGGATATAGCTCAGTGGCACAGCACCTACCTAGCAAGCGCGAGGCCCTGAGTTTGATTCCCAGTACCAAAAAAAAAAATTAAAAAAAACAAAACAAAAAAAACAAAACACCACTTGTAACTGCTTATCATTGCTAGATCAAGCTAATCAACTTAGGAGCTAAACCCAGCCTTAAAGCCTAGGACTGTTGCTCCGTGTGTTGTGTTGTGCTATGTTGTATTGTTTTGTTTTAGTTGTTCCATGTTTACAAGCATGAGACTCCTCACAGGATCTTCTAAGCACTGGAACCAACCCTCATGTTTGTCAAAGTATAATCTTGGGAGTCTGAAATGAGCTGGAGAGGGAGAGTGCTTCAGCGGTTCCAATATTGTCTCCATGTCCAAGAAATAGACCTCACAACCTAAACAGAAGGGGAAGGGAGCGGGGACCGCCTCCTTGTTTGCATAGGGTTATCCTCAAGGCAACCCCTGGGCTGAAGCTCAGAACGTGATGGGCTTCTGTGTGGTAGCATGGGGCCATCAACTAGTTTCCCTCTGACCTCAAGAGCCTTGCAGGAGGGGTTCCACAGAACTTAGATACAATGGCAGACACACAGAACTTCCAGGCAGTTTGTTGTATGGGACTAGAGTGAATCTCAGGCAGGCCCAGTTTTAAGAAAACCACGTTCCAGGCTGGGCATAGTGGTGCATACCTCTGATCCCAGCTTTTGGGAGGCTGAGACAGGAGGATTGCCATGAATTTGAGGCCAGCCTGGGTTACAGAGTACAACTCCATTTCAGGGGAAAGAAATAAGAAAGGAAGGAAGAAAGGAAACTGTGTCCCACTGTCTGAACTGACAGAGGAGGCAAGGAGACAGTGGTCCCCACTACAAAAAGATTCACTTTACAAAAGGACTTTTGGTAGTTATTTCTGTAAAGATGAAGAATAAGGATTTGATTTATACAAATTTCATGTACAGCTCTCAGAGTGGGCATTGCTATCGAATTAAACCAGCCTCCCAGACCATACATACCCCCGACACCGAAAGCTGCACAATAGAAGGGTACTTAGGGTTCTGCTAAGTGGATGTGTGTATGTTTGGGTCTTAGCCAGAGCCTGGCCTCCGACTGGATTCCCCAATCACTTCTAGAAGTGGGGCTGTGTCCTGCGTCGTATTGAGACCTAAAGATTCCACCAATAACAGAGCCAAGCAGAAATTCAAATACAAAAAAAAGAAGTCATAGGACAGTTTGTGCTCAATTCAGAAGAAAGACCAGACCTTCAGCAGACAGACATCTTGTGGCAGGGAGCTCCCTCCCTCCAAGCACCTTGGAGATCACATTCAGCCTCACATCTCAGCACCAGCAGGTGCCCAGGAACACACTGGCATTTGCTCAGTGGCATGAGCAATGACTGTAGGAGTTGAAGCCCACATGCCCCAAATATTTCTTGCTCACTTTCTCTCTAATATCATTTTCCCTTTCTCTGCCTTCATACAAAACCCAACAGGGCATATTCAAGGCTGTCCTCTCAGTTCCAACAGCCTCAGGACAAGAAGGCAAGCCTCAGTACGCAGAAAGCAGAGCTCCGATCCCCAGGGTAAAAAGGAAGGGCACCGAGGGTTTCTGACCCTCTGGCCCAGGTGAGAGCAGTCTTTCCACTGGTCACCTTCTTCAACCAGGCCCTGAAGAATGCACCTCGAGGCTTGGGAGTCCCCGCAGCAGCTGGCAAGCTGGATGGACCAACACGGGCCTGGGTGAAGACAAGGCTCAAGAAATGGGCAGCTATTGGGTACCTATATATTTGGACAGAAGCAGCCACTAAAGCCACCCCAGCCAACTCAGGAGGGGCTAAAGGCAAGGCAGAGGCTCCTGGATGCCTCAGGTGACAGCTGACAACACCAGGTCCTGGCAAAGACAGCGTCCCCAAACTTCAGGCCAAATGCAGCGACACTTAAGCCTCTTACCTGGGAACTCTTAGGGGTTGTAGGGAGAAGGGAAACCGTGCCATCTTCAGAAAAAGTACCTACCGCTTTGCTCCATTTTCCTGTTCTCCTACTGAGACAGGAATCAGAATCTCCTACTGAGCAAGGATAGCCAGGCCCAAGGGACAGTTAGGGCACCCCAAAGTTCAGACGTCAAGGGCAGTTCATCAAGAATCCATTGCCCTGCTTCTCATACCACCTGCCCTGACACCCACTATCCCAGCGGCCTAGGGGCTCCCTCCTGGCCGGTCCTGGATGGCCCCAGACCCATCACCGGGGGCCGGTCCCATCAGTGGCGGGCAGTAGGGCAGGATGAAGACTGCGGGCTGTGTGCTTGGGCACTGGCTCCTCTGTGTAGCTGTCCGGGCTGGCTGCCCCATCCAGGGAGCTGCCACAGCTGGAGTTGGGGGAAAGCACATCCTGCAGGAGGTCATCGGGGGGTGCGCCACCCCCTGCCCCACCCCCACCAGCCCCTGCCACGGGGTCCTTGCCGGGCTTGGCCCGCTGGGTGCCCTCCTCCTCCTGGTCATTAAGCAGCTTGGCCAGGAAGTTGATGTACTTCATGGCCAGGCGGAGGATCTCATTCTTGCTGAGCTTCTTGTCTGGAGGATGCGTGGGAATCAGCTTGCGCAGCTCAGCAAATGCCCCATTCACATTCTGCTGCCGCCATCGCTCCCGGCTGTTGGTGAAGATCCGCCGCACAACTTTGGTGTGCGGACCTGGAGGTTGGAGGACACAGGTCAGGAGAACGGTCCGAGATTCCAATGGACACTCCATCCACCGGACACTGGGGAGACCTTTCCTTTACTCAGAGGACATTTCCTCAGACTCTAAACCCAGGTAACAGGTCACCTTCTGTCAACCCTCCTGACTACCTTAGTCAAACCCCACCTGTGGCCCTGCTACCCCTTCATCTTGAATATTGTGTGCGCATGGCTCCTCCCTGGGCTTTGTGACATTTGAGGTCCAGGACTATACATCATCTATTCAGGCAGTCGCCAAGAGGCCTTGTGCGCTATGTAGGAAGACAAGCCCAGCACTCTAGCTATGGCTCTTGGCCAGTATTCCCTAGACAAGCGTTTGGGAACGTCCTGGGGCAGTCTGTGCCTCACTGCTTCCTTCCAATGGACAGAGTACTACTGAACCGATGGTTACTTCGAGATGGTTACATGGGTCCAAAGCCTCCCACAGATAAAGGACAGAAGACAATGCCTGTCTCCACTTAAACATTCAATAAATGTTAGCTATTACTATCTGTCATCAGCATTTTACTAGAAACCCAGGGACTGTGCTAGGCAAATAATGGTGACAAAACACAAGGGGTCCCTGCCCTCATGTGGCTTACATTTTAATGGGGATGAGAGATGATGAACAAAAAACAGGGGACCAAAAATGGAAAGGAGCTACTATCTGGCCGGTGAAGGCCTTTCTGATGATGAGACATTCATAAAGTAAAAACTTAAGGTTAAAGCAACACCAGCTAAGCACAGGAAGGGCAGAGGAAGAAGAGTGTTCAGGCAGAGAGTATGGATGTGCAAAGGCCCTGAGGCAGGAACTGGGCAAAGCTAGCCTGGCTGTGGGTGCAAGACAAGAGCAGGCAGGGCCCTTTCCCAATAACTACTGGATCCAGACCTCAGACTGTGGAAACTTGGAAAAGGAAAGGGTTAAGACTGTATTCAAGTTCCACTGCTCATTTTATAGCTAAGGAGACAACACAGGACAGAGGCAAGCCTTGCTTCAGTGGTCAGTCTGGGGCCCAGGTCACCCGCACTGATGCTGATGCTTTACGGTCCCCCCTTAGTCTCCCGCATGCACGCTCACACTCACACACACCCATGTTTTCCTCGGGGGAATCACTCAGCCCTTGCTATGCCTCTGAAGCTGTCTTTCCAAACCTCATAGGCCCCAGCCCAGCAGACTCTCTGCCAAAGCCCATGCCCAGGCTGGGAAAAACATGACACACGCTGCACATCTCTGCCCTGGGCTCCCTCCGAGAAATAACATGCCACTCTCAGGCCTGCAGGGCCCCAAGCAGTGACATGGGGAAGACCAGTCCTGTCCCATGGTGGTGCTGGTGAGCTTGAGGGAGCTCACAGTCAGGAGGGGACACTACAACTGCTGTTCCAGGGAGAGCCGGGCAGGCTCCGGGAACAAGCAGTGTGGGAGCCGAGGACAGATTCCAAGGCGTAAGTTCATATTAGGAGCATGGACCGGGACTTGGCTGTGGGATTTTAAGCAAACTCCCTAATCGCTATGAGCCTCGATTTACTCATCTGTAAAGGAAACAATTAATACTGACCCCACGGGCTGATGGGCACACAAAGTCCACGGCACATAGTAAGTGCCCAGCAAGACATAGTAAGTGCCCAGCAAGGGGCAGCAGTTACTGCTATCACCCACCCACTGCACACCACGCCTGAAGGACTGTCTGAGGCCTGCTAGCAATGCGCTCGGTGCTAGGAGTACGGTCATGAATGAGACACAAAATCTCCATGTTAAGGAGAGCCCAGTCTTCAGTGGAAGGGGCTTATTGTCCCCGAAAGCCCTATGTATCTTCTTGACAGGCACAAGGAGGAGAAGGAGCGGGGAGCACCTATCTCAATCCAGGTCTTAAAACTGCTTTACCTCACAGCATTCTCTCAGCCATCTGGGAGGAAGCCGTTATTCCCTCCATTTTACACATAAAGAAATTGTAGCCCAGAAAAAATTGAGCAACAGGAACCCACATCAAGCTCTGACTCGGGGCTGGTGATGTAGCTGTGTAGTAAAATGCTTGCTTAGCATGCATGAGGCCCTGGGTTCAATCCCAGCCCCATCCAAAAGAACCAGCCTTCACTCTGGACAGTATACTGGTTCCACTTCTATGGGCTCCTGAGTTCAGCACCCCGCTTCCTCCCTTTCACCTACCTGTCTGCCTATCCCTCTCTACCTCCTCCCCAGAGGACCCCTCCTCCTCTTCCTTAGTGTGTCCACCCTCTGATGCCCTCTGCCTCCCCCTGCCTGGCTCTGAGCAGGTATACATACAGAATATACACACAGGTTACATTTATGGGCAGTGGCTTCCTGCACTCCCCTCTGGACCCTCCTGCTCTGTCATTTCCTCTGCCTCTCCCCTGGGAAACTCCAGGGCTGACCCCACCACAACACCTCCCCTGGGCTGTAGAACCTCTCACCACGGTTGCCAGACTCACCCCTGAAGCTCAGTCTCCATGCACAGCCCTTCCTACCAGCACCCGGCATTTGGCCCAGCCCTCCTGAGGCCTCGGTGTGCTGCTATGGGAGCCCCAGGGCCTGCTCAAATCCCTCAGCTCTGAAGAGCCTGTTCTGCTCTGGTGATGAGCCTGGCAGGTCAACCCTGGGAGGAGGAGAGGGGTCCCTAGATCTCCCATCTTTCCAACCCTTCCTGGAAAGTTCAGGGCCGAAGAATATCCAACTACTACAGTCCTCACAGTAGCCATGCTGAGTGCCCTATGCGGGAATTAAGGGACCAGGGTACAATCCATAATGATGGGAAGAACTCCAGGTCTCAACACAGAATGGGAAGCAAGGGGGAAGGGCCCCCCCCCCAATGTAGGACCTAGGAGGATACCCCAACTCTAAAGACGACAGGAGGGTTGGTTCTTAGATACCTGAAGGTGGCTGGAGTCCACTGTCGCCCCTCCTGGGATGCATGCCAGCGAGCAGGAAGGGATTCCATAACAGGGGCTAGAGCTGACTCCACAGCTTTGGGCTCAGACCCACGGTGCGTCCCTCCCGCTCCACATCCCCTCTTCCCAGGACTGTGTGACCCTCTCAGCTCCACCCAGCTCAGGATCAGGGTGAAGGGCTTTGACCTGTTAACTCCAGAGTGGTCTGCCCACCATGTGAAACACGGACACAGTCGGATGTCCCCTCCTGCAGAGCTCTAATCAGCCAGTCAGAGGTGGGAGACAGAGGAGCTGGCAGGGAGACTCACCATCTGTAATCTCCATCTCATAGGGAGAGGGTCTCCTCTTCACTCGGTTGCTGGCAGTGAACATAGGGAAGGCATCAGGCTCCCCGAAGAACCCACTGCGGAGGGAGCAGGCGGATCACAAGATCATATGTGGGGCAGAGAGGGGAAAGGGACTCCTTAGGGACCCTCTTGCATACCTTGAGTCCCCCAGCCCTGGAAGGCAACCCTACTCTCTTCACACTTGAACTTGATACAAGGGGAACTCTCTCTCTCTCTCTCTCTCTCTCTCTCTCTCTCTCTCTCTCTCACTCACACACACACACATTGCCCCTGTGCAGTCATGAAACAAGCAAAGAAACACCTTCACACAAGCACACAGACAGAACAGGTGAACACCCAGGCCAAGCACAAAAATGAACACACACACACATATCTGAAAACCACAGTCTTCTCCCCTACAGGCTGGCATGCAGTCTGCACACACACCTCTACCTTCAAACAGGTGCCTGCCATACGCAACGCTGGCACCAAGGGGCACACGGGACACTGGCTCCTCACCTCCCCATGCACCCCAGGACCTTCCTACAGACTGCCCCAGTATCTTCCCCGCAGCTTCCTCACTGCCTGTCCCACACTCTCCGTGCCTCACCTTCCCCTCCCCATCCAGCGCCCTAAGAATCGGGCACCAGTGTCCCAGCAGGGAAGCCATGACCACTGGCACAGCTGGGGCCCCTGAGGCCTCCCCCTACCCCGCACAGACTCGGTAGAGAGTGCCCGCTGCAGACCCTTCTCTCCTGCCTGTCCACTCAGGCTGCAGGTTCCAGGGTAATTTCACATCCCCTCAGCAAACGCCCCTCCGCGCGCAGCTGAGCACGTGCGAACTCATTCTTGCCTCAGATCCACACTTGGGGGACCCCCTCCAGCCTCCCGTCACCCCTCGCACCATGCAGCTAAGCTCACCCAGCCACACACTCGCACCCCAAGCGTGCAGGCTTTACACACGCGCGCACGCCACACGCCCCATCAGTCGCCGCAGTCTCTCTCCCTCTTGGGCTCCTTCCCAGCTTGAGCACGCCACTCCTGGCGGCCAGCTCCGACGCCCAGGGCTGCGGAGGGGAGCCCGGCGCCCTCGCCCCCCGCGGGGCGCTCACCTGCCGAGCGAGGCCAACGGCTGGCCGAGGCTGTAGAGCAGCGCGCGGCCGGGGCCGGCCGG